ACAGGTTTGGGTTTGGCCCTTATTTTACGACGCTGTTGCGGGCCCCACTATTCTACCCCGTCAGCTCAAGTTTCCATTCGTGGACATATAAATCAGTCCCTTTTTCGATAGAGCGAGGAACTAGACAGGGATGTCCTCTTTCTCCGTTGCTCTTTGCGTTGGCGATGGAACCTCTTGCGATTGCTATTCTCGCTGATTCCTCTATATCGGGTGTTACCTGTGGTCAAAGGGTTCATAAATGCGCCCTATTTGCCGACAATGTTCTTATGTACTTATCTGATCCCCGAACGTCTCTACCTGGTTTCTTCCATCTGTTTCATCGGTTTTCTGAGGTCTCCGGTCTTACGCTCAACTCATCTAAAACTGTTGCTTTAAATATCTCGTTACCCGATTCAGAGGTTCGCTACTGCCGGGAAAACTTTGATTTTCAGTGGGCCCCTGGTTCTCTCCCCTATCTGGGGATTCTTCTTACAAAATCTTTCTCGACGCTATACCAGGCCAACTATCTCCCCCGCTTTTCAAATGACTTAAAAATGACGTACTAGCCTGGCAGGATCTTTCACTTTCCTGGTTCGGTAGAATTAATTCTATTAAAATTACCTTCCTACCTAGATTATTATACTATTTCAGGACGATACCAATTCTGATTCCCAAACGAGAACTAGTCTTACTACAGGCTGCAGTCTCTAGATTTGTATGGTGGGGAAAGCGCCCTAGGCTGAACAAATCTACCTTATTTTCTTTGAAGAGGCATGGTGGTTTGGGACTCCCTAATCTTTTCGCATACTTTCAGGTGGCCCAAATAGCACAACTATCTTGTACTACGGCCAGGGGATATGTCCCCCAGTGGGTTGGGATTGAGGCTCTTTCGTGCCGTCCATATGCTATTGGTACTCTCATGTGGCTTCCCAATAGATTGCGCCCTCCTATTTTGTGTCCTACTCTATCCTATTCATTGTCAGTGTGGGATAGATGGCGAGCTTGTAAACCTTTCTTCTCTCCGCATACCCCGTTGGCTCCGGTGTTTGGTAATCCTGAGTTTGCCCCGGGTTTGTCTTTTGCGAGGTTCCAATGGTGGATTAATAAGGGGTTGCTACGTATTGGTGATTATTTGGATGGGGTTCGCCCTCGGTCTCTTCATTATTTTGTGAATTTTTGTGGGAAGCCTCGTGGAGAGATATTTCGTTACCATCAAATTCGCTCTTTTATTGATAGCAAACTTAGACTTCTCACAGAACCTTGTGCGCTTACTTCCCTCGAGGTCTCCTGTGGGGCAAGTGGCATGATGCGAGGTCGCTTGTCCATTGTTTATGCTTTGTTGGTTGATCCCGTAACTAAATTATCTTGCATGATTCTATGGGAACGGGATTTAAATAGTTTGTTGGATTTGGATACCTGGCGGACTGCGGCCCATGCCCTATCGAAGATTTCGATTAACACTGATCTTGTTGAATCTAATTACAAAACGTTACTTCGGTGGTATTTGGTTCCTGCTCGCCTAGCCATAATGTATCCTTCCGTTTCATCTGGCTGTTTCCGACGCTGTGGTCAAGAGGGTACCATGTTCCACGTCTGGTGGAAATGTCCAGTCGTGAGTAGGTTCTGGATCCGCATATTTAATTTTTCTTTACTCAGTGACAGGAATTAAAATCCGTAGATCGCCGGAAGTGGCCTTGTTTAATATACTACCCTCTGATGTTCCCAAAAAATCGATTAAATTAATTTTATATATCATTTTGGCGGCTCGCATTACCATAGCTAGGAGTTGGAAGCAATCCTTGATCCCGCTGGATAGGATGAAACAAAAACTCAACTGGATAATGGTTAATGATAAACTGACGAGTATCGTCTCTGATGATGTGTCCAGATTTGAGAGGACTTGGGATCCTTGGATTACTTATATTACTGTATCGTGAGTGTCTGGCAGCTGACCCCCCCCCTCTTATATTTTTTTTTTTCTCTTTTTTCTTTTTGTTTCAATTAAGAGTACTTTCCTTTTCGTCTTTCTCTTCCTCTCTTTTTCTACTATTTGTTGAAACACCTTTTTTCTCTCTGTTATTTTTGGTCCATTTTGACTTAATTTTTGTTTATTGATCTATGAAACCTGTATGTTTTGATGGCAACGACATTTTTTATGTGAATTGTAATGCTATTGTCTGCTAATTTTTTTTTATTTATCTATCAGTGTTATGCTTATGATTCTGAATCTTGTTCCACCTTGTGGGTGGGCCCTTTCTTTTTCTCTTTTATTGTTTGCCATCTTGTTTTACGTTTTACTATGTTTGTTTCTCAATAAAAATATTGAAATATAAAAATCATACAATGTGATTTCCTAAATTTTTTTTTTGAATTCTGTCTCTCAGAGTGGGAATGTACCTACAATGTGAATTTCAGACCCAACCATGATTTCTAAGTGGGAGAACTTGCAAAATCGCAGGGTGTTCAAATACCTCTGTTCCTCACTGTATATATATAGTATATATATATATATATATATATATATATATATATATATATATATATATATTATACATATATACACACACAGACACATACAGTACTGTGCAAACATTTTAGGCAGGTGTGCAAAATGTTGTAAATGAAGAATGCTTTCAGATATAGAAGTGATAATAGTTTATTCGTATTAATTAACAAAATAGAAAGTAAAAGAACAGAAGAGAAATCAAAATCAAATCAATACGTGGCGTGGCTAACTAGGAAACTCGGCAGGTAAGTTGTTTCAGACATCTTGAAAAACTAACCACAGATCTTCTGTGGATGTAGGCTGTCTCAAATCTTTCTGATTCTTCATGTAATCCCAGACAGACTCAGTGATGTTGAGACCAGGGCTCTGTTGGGGGCTAAACTATCACTTCCAGGACTCCTTATTCTTCTTTACACTGAAGATAGTTGTTAATGACATTGGCTGTATGTTTGGGGTCATTGTCCTGCTGCAGAATACATTTAGGGCCAATAACATGCCTCCCGATAGTATGGCATGCTGGATAAGTATGTGCCTGTATTTCTCAGCATTGAAGACACCATTGAGCTTAACCAAATCTCCAACTCCATTTGCAGAAATGCAGCCCCACACTTGCAAGGAACCTCCACCATGCTTCACTGTTGCCTGCAGACACTCATTATTGTACCAGTCTCCAGCCCTAAGGCAAACAAACTGCCCCCTGTTACAGCCAAATATTCCAAATTTGGACTCATCAGTCCAGAGCACCTGCTGCCATTTTCCTGCACCCCAGTTCCTGTTTTAGTTCATAGTTGAGATGCTTAGCCTTGTTTTCACATTGGAGATATTGCTTTTTGGACGTATTCCTTCCATGAAGGCTACTTCTGGCCAGACTTCTCTGGACAGTAGATGGGTGTACCTGGGTCCCACTTGTTTCCGCCAATTCTGTGCATATGGCACTGCTGGACATCTTCCGGTGTGGAAGGGAAGTAAGCATGATGTGTCTTTCATCTGCTGCATTAGGTTTCCTTGGCCGACTACTGTGTCTATGGTCCTCAGCATTGCCTGTTTCTTTGTGCATACTCAAAAGAGCTTGAACAGCACATCTTGAAACCCTAGTCTGCTTTGAAATCTTTGCCTGGGAGACACCTTGCAATATAATTACCTTGGAGGTTAGTTGCTAAAACTGCATGGTGCAAAATCTGGTGCAGCTCTGCATATAAACCAACCAGCTTCCAAGTTTTATTGTCAAAGCTTAACTGAACAAGTTGAGGTTAAAAGTTGAATGGCTGCCATGCACTGGTGCACCAGATTTTGAGTTCAGCAGTTTTAATAAATCTCCCACCTTGTGTCTTGTTGCTGTTCTCAGTCTTGCAATGGTGTATGACCCGTGACATGAAACTGTCTTTCACAAGCTCACCTTAGTAGCAGAGTTTGGCTGTTTCTTATCCTGTTTTAAACCACCTACACATCTGTTTCTGTGTCAATTAAAGACTGTGTTTCAATATACATATGAAATTGATGATCATTAGTACTTGCTTGTATAATTGGTTAATCATACACCTGACTCTAATGCTACAAAATCCCTGACTTTGTTCATGTGTACAAATTGTGCAAGTGTAAGAATTCATTTGAAGCCAAAGGGTAGTCACACCAAATACTGATTTGATTCAGATTTTTCTTCTGATCGCTCACCTTCAGTTTGTAAATTGATAAAAATAAACAATTAAAATATATATTTCTGAAAGCATTCTTACTTTACAGCATTTCTTCACACCTGCCTAAAACATTGGGCACTGCTGTATATATGTATGTAAGTACAATATATTGTATAAGTCATAAAAGGTAAAATGTCCGATGATGAACTTGGCATCTGCTTATAATACCTTATTTTTGTTTTGCAGGTACACCATTCCTGCATACTCCCCTGAACAAATTAACTTGGATTTGCAAAACGTGTTGAAAAGTGCCTATTTTTTTGGTGGTATTCACTAAGCAATAAAACAAATATACAGTATTAACATGGGTGTTGGATGATTATGCAAGTTGAATATGTAGGACAATATTGAAATGTGTACATTGTAATCAACTCCTCACAATCAGCCGTACTCGGTTTCTTTTTAGAATATTGTTTTTGTCCATAAATGAGTAAACTGATGACTTAACTTAAAAGTGAAGTCATAATATGTAGCTAAAAAGTCTTGATGGTGGTGTCTGTATGTCTTTAAGATTTTAAATGAGATGTTGCCACATTCTCATGTAAATCTAAAAGTGATTTAATATGGTTTAAACGTAAAAGAGTTGAGAGTTTCCTCTTGAGACTGGAACACCTGTGACCACCGAGGGTTAACTGGAATTTGGCACACAACCACATGACAGTTGGAGATTTGGAGTCTAGTTACTGCACATGATTAATCAAAGTGGATGCTTATGAACAGAAAATGTCCAGTGGATTTGTAAAGACTTTGTATTTCAAATTAAGGGATTTTAAGGTGTGCTCAGGAAGCTTTTGCATTGTATTTGAAAAATAAAAATGTACCTCCATTTGTTGTCTTGGGAATCCTGTTATTCTTCTGTCGTTGAAGTTGAAGTTTGAAGAGTTCATCTTCTAACTGCTGATTTTCAATTTCAAGTGTAATTAATTTTTCATTCAAATGCCATTTCACATTACCATGTCCCTCTAAAAATGTAAAAAAGGATTATAGTGTTACTAAACCCAAGACCCTGCATCCACTCTATGTGGTCTCCCACAGTACACACTACATGAAAATGCAATTATTTTAGTAAATATAAACTGATAAATACCTTTTCTCATCAGCAGTTAGAGCAGTCTTGTGACTTCTATCAGTGTTCAGCAGAGCACTGGTAAAGCTTCTAGGAGTTCTTATTGTGCTCTAGGAAATTGCGGAACCCCTGACCTCTGTCTGCACAGTACTGATTGGCCCTGTGATGAGCACATGCACACTCTCAAGAAAAAAAAAACCTCTCTAAAAAACTGAGCATGTGCAGAGTGTCTCCACCCGATATGTCTTATCAGGAGATAAGAGGGGGACACTGGAAGAAGGGGAGGATCAGAGAAGTCAAGATCAAACAGCCTTTTTACACAATGCAGAGCCCTTTAGGTTCCACAGTGCCTATAACAAGCATGCTTTACTGCATATACAGACTGATTTTACTGTTGTGGTTTAAATAACACTTTAACAAATGAACCCAACAAAAATATTAATGTAGTTGGACAAAAATTCAAAGCAAGAAACAAACTGAAAGTGACAATCGATGCAACATTTCCAAATGTCTATAATCACAACAATGATAACTGTCCAAAGAATTCTGCGAGGCAAATATTGTTTTTATGCTATAGATACTCTGAATATTGAACCATAAATAATCTTTCTATTACATACAGGTGGTTAATACCTCTGAAATAAACAGCACACATGATTCATTAAAAAAGAAGTTTGACAAAAAAAACAGAATCAGCTGGATAACAACGTATACACATTTATTTGATAAAAACATATGCACTTTAAAACAGATGGGGCTCTCACATTCTGATGTAAGCAACTGAACAACTGTCATAGACATCATATAACACAGCTGTGTTCCAGTAACCCAATATCCTGAATATAATGGACCTAATAATTAAATCTAATGCATATGGTCTTATTCTACAAAGTGGTGGAGTTCATAGTTGTCTATTTACAAATAGTCCAATGAACAAATATATTTTACCAGGATCAGTGAATATATTATTATGCAAGCCAGCACAGTGCTGGTAGGTTTAGCATGTCTGCAAATCTTAGAAAACTAACACGTAACATTATACAATCAAGTGCATGATTAGTTGAATTAATTCAACACTTTGTATGCCAGCACATGTGTATAAAGCATTGAACGTAAGTTAATACCATGACATTCACTTGGTAAATAGGAATATTCACCAGAAGTTTTACATACTATTGCTCCTGTAAAAGGCAAATGTGAGATAAATCACTCATAGGTGTATATAGCATAAGTTATGTGAATCTACAAAGTATGCAAAGGTCTATCCAATTTGATACAAGACAGTTCAATAGGCCTCTGTCTTAATTGTATACAATAGTCCAACCAACTCATTTATTAACAAAACTAGATACAAATCAGAGCCATCATGAATTGGAACTGATATAGAAAATGGGGAACCACGTAGGTAGGGGAGATTGGATGTGTGAGAATCACAATGAATTGTTGAATCCAAACAATCTAAATCATGTTGGACTCTTGCGTACTAGCACAGTGTCACAGGAAGTTGAGTCCAGCTCACATAGATTTCATCAAAAGTTTGAAGGCCATCAAGCAAATGGAAACTCACTGGCAGTAGCTGTGTCTCATAAGATATGGCAACATGTGAGATGTGTAAATGCTGGAAAAAATATTGAGATCTCACCCAGTTCATAGCATTCTCAACCTCCTAGTGTTGTGGTCTCAAAGGACATGGCCCATGCAAAGGTCCAAAATCCATGAATGAGTATGTGTCAGGGGCTCTTAAACATTTTGCATTAGGTTTCATTGTTGCACCCACTTTATCCAGGATATTGTGTTACTGGAGCACAGCTATGTTAAGCTGGCCATAGATGGATTGAATCTCAGCTGCTTCAGCAGGGACTGGCTGAGATTCGATCCATCTATGGGCAGGCTAGTTGTACCCGAGTCAATCCATCAATCAACTTAGGCATAACCAACCTGTCTGATTTCTTACATGTGATTACTGGTGGCAGCTATAGCTGCTAGCTGTAATCTTTGTGTTCTGCTGACCGGGAAGGCTCCCCATCGGCAGAATACAGTAGTGCTGCGGAATGGATTCCCCCATCAGACTGAGTTGATGGGGAAATTGAGAGACTTTCCTTTCTTCACCCCTAGTGGAAAGAAAGAAATTGCATAATCTATGGGCTGCTTAATTTGATGCCTATGGCAATTGTTCAGTTACAATTCACAACTGTCAGACTGTCCGTGAAGAGGCTGTGTTGCACCCATTGTTTTGGATTGTGGACATGTAGGTAAATGCTGAGGGAGGATGAGCAACAGAAATTTCTATTACTGAGATGTAAAATAATATTCTTACTTTATTAAAATAGCCAGCTATTTGAGTCTTAAATCATGAATTGATCAAGCACAAAGCCTGTACCGCCTATTATTGCTTCACCAGCAGGTGTGTTAAAAAATCAGCTAACAAAAAAGAGAATGGAATAAACTATTACAGTACAGAAATGTCAAATGACTATTGTTCAGTTAGTTTATTATTTCTTATGATCCTTAGATTAAGACAGAACACATGATAGGAATTCTTAACAAAGGCTTCTTACCTTGTAGAAATTCTATGCTAATGATGGCTGGCCTAACTAAATGCATGAACAATTAACTGTCAAATTATTGTTAATCTATTGTGTAAGTCTTATATTCACGTATAATACATTGTCCCAAAAATAATGTGAAATGTTTTACTATGCACTTTTTGTAATAGAAAAGGAATGTAACCTACTTTTAGTTTTCTTCTGTATTGATTGGGCATGTTTTTCTTTTTGTTCTATAAGTTGTGCTTCAGTCAAAAGGTCTTGTAAATGCGCCAAGATCATCTGATCATTTCCTCCATTTTGCAGATAAGTCATGCGCAATGCACTGTGTTTGTGGGAACAAGTGATTATGACATAAAACATAACGGTCAAGGCAAATAAAAGAAAAAAAAACATATTTCAAGCATTACAAGCCAAAGTCTGGAAAGTGATCACACAGGATTCAGTATGCCAAAACTGTTGGGGATGAAAAAAGCTGTGAAAGAAAATAAAGCAAAAATCAAACCAAACCAAAGTTTTTTTTTTTCTAATGTTGGATAGAGGGGTAAGGTTTAAGTCTGTGAGGTTTTTTTTTGCTGACTGTGAGTCACAGTTTACTTGTGTGCACCAAGCCTCTTGGAAGATTTTTCTCTTGATCAGCCGGAGGTACAAGTACTAATGAATGTATTCTGATGGTGGATAAATCTCTCCACTGCCACAATGCAAAAGTGCTGCAGAAGGGATTCCTCCATCCACACTGAATGGGTGGATGGAAGAATCGAGTATTTTTTTTATATTCAACTCACTGGTTGAACAAAAAAAAAAAAATGACTTGTGTATGGCCAGCCTTATGCAAGGCCATAGATGGGTCGTTTATCGTCCGAACGAAAAATCAGCCGATATTCACACCGTTAGTGAGGCAATGGCGATTTTCACGGTTCTTCTCGTTTCTTTTTATCGGTCATGCTGGAAAATCTACGGAAAACGTCAGTTTTTCGTAAGCATTGGTGCAGCATTGGTGGCAGCAATGACCGAATTTTCGTTTATTGGCCAACAATTCGGCCGATAAACGTCCTGTCTATGGCCTGCATTACTCTTTAAAAAGCATGTCGGTAGATAAGAAAGTAATTGTTCACGTGGTTGTTTTATTTCTATTGACAGCCCAAGCTCAAGCAGTGTGACTCCAAGTACATGTCTGTGTACCAACTAAAAACGATTTTGAACCAACCTATACTAATACTGCAATCTAGAGAAATGGAGAAAACAGCTTGTAAAAAGGCCTGCAGGGACCCAATTACTATGCTGGCCGGGGGCTACTAATGTGGTTGTCATTTCAAAATTAAAAGGTTGCTATGGGTAGTATGAAAGTCATACACTGTCTCTTCAATTAGTACTTTCATGCTTCCAAATATTATTTTTTCTGTTTTTGGATCTTGCTTGCATGAAAATTAAAGGATCCTAAACTTTGGTTAGGTACACATCAATAGTTAATTCAGTCATCCTATTTAGACACAGTAGTCAGCAGCTACTACAGGTCGATACCTAAGCCACAAGAAGCCATGCAGTGCAAGTCATGTAAAATGATACTTCTTTATTAAATCTCAAGGTTAAAGCACATAAAAAAACTCCCCCCCCCCCCCATTCTGCAGGATATAGTTTGTAGAGTATCATGCATAATTGAATATTTGTCACATGCATCCATCAATAAAGAGAATAGTAACATACAGTATATTGCATCAATAAAATGCTGTAAACTGTCCCATAATAGAAGCATCAAGTAATAGTTGAACAGATGATGAATAAGTGGAGTTCCACTCACGCTGTCAAAAAGTAAAAGTCAGCAGCTACAAAAACTGTAGCTGCTGACTTTTACAAAACAGTCACTTACCTGTCCCTCGGTCCTGCGGTGTGTCCCCTGAAGCCCGTTTCTCCGGCCGTCCTGTATTCCAGGAGGCCAGTGAGCCACTCTGAAACATAAAACCTGGGGCAGTGACTTTGGCACCAGCTTAAAATGAAACATAGGCAAGGTTTAAAAGATAAAGAAGCTGCATACCCAGTGAGTTATTAAATCAGTTGCTGAAAGTGAAAGTGAAAATTGAGGGTTTAATATCACTTGAAAGCTGCTCATGGCGTTATGAAGTTCAATGTAGCCTTTTAAAACTGACAGTACAAAACAAACAAATGAAAACAAAAAAAAACAGTGTGGGTTCCCCCTAAAATTCCACTCAGACCCATATTATTATTATTATACAAGATTTATATAGCGCCAACAGTTTGCTCAGCGCTTTACATATTCAAGCATGTGGCCTGGTTGGCCAGGAAAGTATAGACAGCAAGCATTTTCACCCCCCTTCCTTCACCAGACCAGCCTACATGACCTTCAACATACCTTGAAAGAGTAAGGAAGGGTGGCAAAACCCTCCATTGCTAGGCAACTTGCCCCAGTTTTGAGGGACAATTGTCTTTTCCACACATTTTTCTCCCCAAAACATATCTAGGGGTTTGTGTGTGGTGGGGGGAGAGAGGTGGACTTATGGAAATCTTGAAGCCCTCTTTGAAATAATAGCAATGAGTACAGGGGAAAAAGTGTCTGCGGCAGCAAACAATATGACTTCCCTTCCTGTACCATACCAGGCTACATTAGTACATCATTCTCAAAAAAAATGAAAAGTAGAAAATAAATATATGAACATTGCAGAAAAGTAATTTAATGGCTAAAAAAAAATGTTAATAATGTCCCCTGATATATATCCATCATCAATCATGTCATTTAGCAATGTAAATCCATATCAAACATTGTCTGGCAATGTTTACCAGCCATCACAAAGACCCATCTTCTAATGATTTCTCCATACAGGACTCCCTTCACTAAATGACAGTTCCCTGGTGTTGCTGTAATGTAAACACAGGTCTGGGAAGTGTTGTCTTTGACTCCATATAAGGTTATGAACAAATATGGTCAACTACATCATTCAGGATCTCTGGTTATCTGTTTACATTACCACACCAAACAGGGATCTGTCATTTATTGACAGTAGTATGGTGGGGAAACACACCCATAAAACGGGTTGTCATGGTGGTGGGAATCATCATGTGGTGGGGGATCATCAAGATTGATGAAGAATTTACATGGAAGGATCAATTTTTTCTTTCTGTAATGGTATTTAAGGGTTTTACCATGGTGTCTATGTGTTCTAATTTTTGGGGAATGAGTAATAAGTGGTACAAGTACCCCTATACATATTTCCATGGGGAGGAGTGGATATCTGGGGGCTCTCCTATTTTAAATGGGCTTCCTGATTCCTAAAATTCCCCCTCACATACCCTCACATCATTTTGGGGGAAATGTGGGGAAAAGGCCCTTGTCCCTCAAAGCTGGGACAAGGTGCCCTTGCAAAGAGGGGAAAGCCTTCCTGCCCTCTCTTAAAGTTACCCTCCAATGTTGAAAGGCACGTGGCCTAGGCTGGTACAGGAAGGTGGGGGGGGGGGGTTTGTGGAGATGCACATTTGCTCTTTCATCATCATGGATAATGATCTGCTTGGGATATTGAGGAGAACTATAAGCCTTTTTTAGGAGAAAAGGTTTCCTTGATAAAATCTAAACCCAAGATCAGAAAAATAATACTCTTCAGCTTTTTTCTCCCTTTATATTCACCTGTAATCCTTCAGTAAAACAATTCCTAGCCTAAGTTCACAAAGCTCACCCACTGTACAGTATATATGGAGAAGTGTTGTCACCCAAGACAGAACCACAGAACACCCCCTTTCCTCTTCATAAAGTAGCAGTGTTTCAGTTACAAAGATAGTTGAGAACTGTGCAGCACAGGCAGAATTCTGCAGGGAATTATCAGCTCCAAAGATTTCTGGAAGGATTATCAGGTATTTATGTATTTATTGAACAGATATTACAAATACCTTTCAAAGGTATATTTAACAGACCAAAAGGGATTACGTATGAGATGTTCAATGCTACAGTAATAAGAATCTTGGTTTAGGGAGCCAATACTCTGTGTGAGTTTCTGACTCTGGAGTCATTAAAAGAGCCCCAGAGCATCATGCTTTCTCCTCCATATCTGACGACTGGTGAACCACTGAAGAGCCACTTAGAAACATCAAAACCCTACTTGATGAACTGGAGATTCCAAATTTTGATTCATCGGTTCATAAGATCTTATATTAGTCTTCAGCAGTCCACTGGAGCAGATTTTTATTTTTCTTATTTTGCCATTTTATCAATGACTTTTTAGCAGCCACTCAACTTATCAAACAAGCAATTTAAAGTCTTCACAACTCAAAGAGAGACCTGTACCATACCAGGCTACATTAGTACCCCTTATTACTCATTCTAAATTTTGATTCATCGGTTCATAAGATCTTATATTAGTCTTACTTTGACCACTGGTAAAGTGACACTAAACTTTGGTTTAACTTAACTCTGTTAAAAAAATCTATACAAGTAAATATTTTTGCTTCTTCAAATTCCTTTCTTTTGCTGCTGTGATCCGACTTCCTACTAGAAGGTGGCTACATTAATTCTCCACGGTCTGACTGTATGTAGGAATATAGCCAACATGCACTGCTCGTTCCAAACAAATAGAACGGAGAGGGAAAAAGGAGAAGCTTGAGAGCTTACTGAGCATGTTACAAGGGGGCAGAAACAAAATTTGTGAAAAATAGATTACAGGGCCATTAAATAGTGGATGTGCATGGAATATTTTTGGAGAATAACTATTTTGTTTAGTGTCCCTTTAAGCTGTGCTTGAAGTTATTGTCCTGTGAAGTTCCTACGATGCAAACTGTTGACTTTTAGAAACTCGTCTTCTGATTCCATTGTGGCTTTGGGTCTGTCAGACCTGTTTTTGAATTTCCTCTAGTTTCCTTTTCAGTGCATTTTTATGATATAGGAAGCTGCAAACATTGGCACTTTGCCTTTCTTTAAAAATTCTCTTTAATTTGAAAATTTCACACCATTATGAGAGCAATATAATATTTCCTGTAGTGCAATACTGTTCAAAAAATACTTCAAAGGTTGTAGTAGTGCAGCTTGTTTCAACATTGCTTTTATATAGACAGGGTTTGCAAATCAGAAAGGTTGGGATGATTGTAGTAGTTGCTTGCATCAGCTTTCAGGTTTTAATTTCCTTTTACTGCTGCAGAAAATCTGTAATATATCAACCCAGTATTTTCTCTCTTCCCAGTTCACCATACCTTTGTACCAAGTCAGGTTATCCAGTGGAACTTGAACTGCTTAAATTTCAATAAAACCTGGAAAAAACTGCGCTTTTCCTAAAATTTTTACTAGTTGCATATGTTTAATTTATTCATACGCTTATAATATTCATTAGTGTAATGTGGCAATCTTGTATATTATTAACCACTTGCCACCCACCGTATATTCAATATACAGCCTCAGAGCAACTTTCTAGTTCTGGGAGGGCATCCCTGGATGTCCTCCCATGTGTGCGCTTCCCACTTGGGGCGCGCATTCGGAGCTCTCTGTGACCACTGTATGCCTTGAACATAGCAGATCCCAGATTGAGGTAAAGGGCCAATCACAGCGTCCCTTTACCATGTGATCAGAGGTGTCTGATCACAGCTGTCACAATGTAAATAAACAAAAGATCCTTTGCTCTTTACCAGCTCTCCTTTCCTCACACAGAGGCGCTATATTTGTGAGTCTGTTTACATACAAAGATTCTTACAGTGTCAAACATCAGTTATCCACACCAGTGCAGCCACATCAGAGCCCTAATCTGCCACACCAGACATCCACACTACTGCAGCTACATCAGAGCCCTGATCTGCCACACCAGACATCCACACTACTGCAGCTACATCAGAGCCCTGATCTGCCACACCAGACATCCACACTACTGCAGCTACATCAGAGCCCTGATCTGCCACACCAGACATCCACACTACTGCAGCTACATCAGAGCCCTGATCTGCCACACCAGACATCCACACTACTGCAGCTACATCAGAGCCCTGATCTGCCACACCAGACATCCACACTACTGCAGCTACATCAGAGCCCTGATCTGCCACACCAGACATCCACACTACTGCAGCTACATCAGAGCCCTGATCTGCCAACCAGACATCCACACTACTGCAGCTACATCAGAGCCCAGATCTGTCATGCAGAGTACAGATGTGCCAGTGCAACCTCATCAGTGTCCTGATCAGCCACCAAAGTGCAGCCTCATCAGTGTCCTGATCAGCAATGTCAGTGCAGCCTCATCAGTGTCCTGATTAGGCACGCCAGTGCAGCCTCATCCGTGTCCTGATCAGCCCCGCCAGTGCAGCCATGCCAGTGTCCTGATCAGCCACACCAGTGCAACCTCATCAGTGTCCTGATCAGCCATATCAGTACAGCCACATCAGTGCAGACTTATCAGTGTCCTGATCAGCCACACCAATGTAGCCACACTAGTGCAGCCACATCAGTGTCCTGATTAGCCATGCCAGTGCTGGCACACTAGTGCAGCAACATCAGTGCAGCCACATCTGTGCACCCACATTAATGTCATGATCAGCCACACCATTGCAGCCACACTAGTGCAGCCACATCAGTGTCCTGATCAGCCATGCCAGTGCAGCCACACCAGTGCAGCAACATCAGTGCAGCCACATCTGTACACCCACATTAATGTCATGATCAGCCACACCATTGCAGCCACACTAGTGCAGCCACATCAGTGTCCTGATCAGCCATGCCAGTGCAGCCACACCAGTGCAGCCTTATCAGTGTCCTGATCAGCTACTCCAGTGCATCCACACAAGAGTAGCAGAATGTGTTTTGGGGTGTAATTCTTAGTATGTCCATGCTGTGTGTTAGAAATATCTTATAAATTGACAAGTTTGTTTAAAAAATAAAAGTTTTAATTTTCTTTCCACATTTTCCAAAAATTTGTGGCAAAAAATGACATGTTCATAAGACTCATTATGCCTCATAGACATGGCCACCATTGGGGGGGGTACTGCCCTGACACTTATATGGGGCATGGGCATCCTGAGGGGCCCAGGCCCAGGGCCACGCCAGCATCATATGACAGCTGTTAGGACACCAGAATGGGCTAGCCACCCAAAAAGAAAAAGACCGTGGCCGCAGTGAGAGAGAAACACAAGCCAGGGATAATGATTCCTCCCTCTACCTTTGCTCCAGCAGCTGATCGAGCTCGCACTTTTGGAACATCCCGGAGGTGGAGCCTGATGGTAGGCTCGCATTTTGATTGGCTGACACTTGGGGAGGGGGTGTGGCCAGTCTTGGAAGTAAAAACAGCCAGCTCACCTTCTTTGGTGCACATGCAGGACTCGGAGGGCAACACAAGGGAGGCTGTGCAGCCTGTGGACTTTAACAGACTGTACTAATCTGCAGTGTCCTGACCTCATACCACATTACACTACAGGTCATACATCCTGACATCAGGAGAGTCTCCTCTGTTATAAGGAATGAGGGGAGGTACAGTACAGGGTCAGGGACGAAGAAGATGATGGTAAAAAGGATGGTGGGGATGAAGATGATAAGGTGTTATGGATTATGGATAGGGGCTGCTGGAGGAATGAGGATGATGATGGAGAGAGGGATGACTGAGGAAAGAGCACACAGAGAATATAAGGATGAGGATGATGACTGGGTTACAAAGCTGAGAGGGGTAAGGATGATTATCCTATTCAGGGGCGGACTGACCATTTGGAGACTCGGGCACTGCCCGAGGGCCCGGGGTCAGTAGGGGGCCCCATGAGATGCCCCGGTACCTTTTTCTTAGGCTTTTTTGAGTTTGGGCAAGGACACAGGGGCCCCATGATCCCCTATTGCCCGGGGGCCCCATGAGTTGTCAGTCTGCCCCTGATCCCATTACATGTTTAATAAGAATCCAGGGATGAAGATGATTTGGGAACAGTGTGGAGAAGGATAAGGATGATGATAATGGAGAGTGAAGTTGGAGATGAAGATGGTTATGGAGAATAATGAGGATGATTCTGGAGAGGGATGAATATGATTCTGGAGAGGGATGAGGATGATGGAATTACATTATGGAGAGGGATGAGGATGATTCTGGAGGGGGATGGAGATTAGGATGAGGATAATGGAGTTACATTGTTGAGAGGGATAAGGATGATTCTGGAGGGGGATGAGGATGATTATGGAGAGGGATGAGGATGATGGAGTTACGGTACATTGTGGAGGGGGATGAGGATGATTCTAGAAGAAGATGAGGATGATTCTGGAGAGGGATGATGATAATGGAGTTACATTGTGGATAGGGATGAGGATGATTCTGGAGGGAGATGAGGATGATTCTGGAGAGAGATGAGGATGATGGAATTACATTGTCGAGAGGGATGAGGATAATTCTGGAGAGAGATGAGGATGACTTTGGAGGGGGATGAGGATGATGGAGTTACACTGTGGAGAGAGATTTGGATGATTGTGAAGGGGATGAGGATGATGGAGTTACATTGTTGAGAGGGATGAGGATGATTTTGGAGGGGGGTGAGGATGATGGAGTTACATTGTGGAGAGGGATGAGGATGATTCTGGACAGGTATGAGGGTGATTCTGGAGAGGATGAGGATGATGGATTTACATTTTCAAGAGGGATAAGGATGATTCTGGAGGAGGATAAAGATGATGGAGTTATTTTGTGAAGAGGGATGAGGATGATTCTGGAGAGGGATGAGGATGATTCTGGAGGGGGGTGAGGATGATGGAGTTACATTCTGGAAAGGGATGAGAATGATTTAGGAGAGGGATAAGGATGATTCTGGAGAGGGATGAAGATGATTCTGGAGAGGGATGTGGATTATGGAGTTACATTGTGGAGAAGGATGGGGATGATTCCGTTGGGGGATGAGGATGATTCTGGAGAGGGATAAGAATGATGGAATTACATTGTCAAGAGGCATGAGGATAACTCTGGAGGGGGATGAGGATGATGGAGTTGCATTGTAGAGAGGGATGAGGATGATTCTAGAGAGGGATGATGATGATGCTGGAGGGGGATAAGGATGATGGAGTTAGATAGTGGAGAGGATGAGGATGATTTTGGACAGGGACAAGAGTGATTCTGTATGTACTATCCTGACATTTTATGGCCTCATAAAATTAGATAGGTAGTCAGTACATTAGGACTAATCAATTTTCAAATAAATGTACTATAGCTTGTAGACTCTATAACTTTCACACAGACTACATATTATACACTGAGGGTTATAATTACCAAAGCAATGTAGCAGATTAAATTTTAGCCTAAATTTTGGAAGAAAGATTACTTAATTGGAAAACAGAAACTAAGAAAACTTTTTTTTAAACAACAAACAAAAATAGTGAGCACTCAGAGAAAAAAAGAGCTGCTAGCACTTACGAGTAAACCAACCCAAAAAAAACCCAAATATAATGATAGTGCAGTGCTGAAGAAAACAAAATAAAATTCAAATATAAATATATACCTGTGACAAAATATATATAACTGAAAACAGTGACCAAAAAGTCAAAATTAAAACCTATGAGTAATACACCCAATATGGTAAATAAAGTGCTATGTGCAAAACAAATAACTAAATCTGAAAAATTCATAAAGTGTTTAAATGTGCAAAATAAGTAATAAATAATAATAAATAAACAATCAGTGCATAGTGAGTTTTTTTTTAAATTTTTGAAATTTTTCATTTATATAGCAAAAAATAAAAAACACATTGGTGATTAAATATCACAAGGGGTGAAAGTGTCCAGTACTGAAGTGGTTAAAATTGGTTAAAAAATAAAGTAAATGTATAAATCAAGATATAGTTTTTTTTAACTTACCTAATTTCAGAAGATAAAGTTCCTCGTCCATAAAATGGAACAAAAAGCTGCTGCAAGGAGAGTGGGCCTTTTTCTGCTTTTCGGGAGCCTGGGGATTGGCTGTGTCTGCTTATAGTTCCTCTTTTCCTGTAGCATTAGCAGAACAAAATGTAGAGTGATTGTCTGGGGCTATCAATGGTAGCTCATATGTATACCAGAGGTGAACTGACAACTCATGGGGCCCCCGGGCAATAGGGGATCATGGGGCCCCTGTGTCCTTGCCCAAACTCAAAAAAGCCTATGAAAAAGGTACCAGGGGCATCTCATGGGGCCCCCTACTGACCCTGGGCCCTCGGCAGTGCCTGAGTTTCCAAATGGTCAGTCCGCCCCTGATGTATACACCAAAAGTTTCTAAGTAAGTTGTAAACAAACCTTTCCTTGATTTTGCATCATTTTTGGAAAGGTACTATACTGGCTTCTGTCACACAACGCTCACAGCACCCTGCCTTTATAGAACGGTATCTTTTTGATAAGATAATATGATATCTGTGTGTTCTGTAACAGAATACAGGACATTTCCAGTTTCTATAGCTGCTAGAAAGAAACATTTACATTTTTTGTTAGTTGAAGAAAATTGTAGCTGGCTGCAGACTGAAACTGAAAAAAAATTGTAGCAGCACTACATGTCAAAATGGCTAATATAAGAGTTGTGTATGTACATATTTTTTTTTTAGCAAAGTGGATTTCTTTGTGGATATTGCTGCAACCTACCATCAAAAAAAGTAGTATTATATGGAGGGAGAGTGCTATGAGCATTGTGTGACAGAAGCAGGCACAGCACAAAAAAGGAACATAAGAAAGTGCATCCAAAACAACTGAATTAGTGCACAGCCAATAATTTATCCATGAACCTGTATTAAAATAAAAGTCTCCTCCCATGTCCAATTTTTGTACAAGTGCACTTTAAGGGCCCATTCACAAAATGTGCTGCATTAACACACATGCGTTATGGCATTCCATTCATTTATATGGGTCGGCAGCACATCTTAATGCTAATAAAAAAAAAAGACATGCCCCTCCATTTTTTTGCAGTGTAACACAATGCATGTGTGTTGCGGTGTGCTACAGTGTAAATGCATAGCCCACTACCATAGTAGTGCACTGCGGTACCATTCAAAATAAATTACTGCTATAGTACTGCAAGGTGAAATTGCCCAATATGACAACGCATCAATGTCTTTGGGCTTGAGAAAGAAATGGAAGATAATATTTTCACATACATTTTCAAGGCTTTGATCAATGCTGTTGGGATTTAGTAGAGCTTTAGAGATGCAAATGGGAATATTTTTTAATTTTATAGGATGCCAGGCCCTTTTTTAAATTCGATTTAGCAATGCACCGAGACACAAAAAATGTGTGTGTATCCTCTAATAAAAAGAAACCCTAACAGTGTTAGAAAACAAGCAATGCACACTATAAATTAAACAAAAATTCGAATAAAAAATGTAAATGACATGCTTTACATTTACAGTATCTATGTTTATGAAAAGGATGGACTGAGCTTCATCAAAACGTCGACAATAATGATGCTGATGTTTTGAACTCTACCCTGCATGACCCCTGCCTATATACCAGTTTTTGATTTATATATATATATATATATATATATATATATACAGTCATGGCCGAAATTGTTGGCACCCTTGATATTTCTCCAGGAAATCATGTATTTCTCACGAAACGTATTGCATTAACACATGTTTTGCTATACACATGTTTATTCCCTTTGTGTGTATTGGGACAAAACAAAAAAAGGGAGGAAAGAAAGCAAATTCGACATAATGTCACACAAACCTCCAAAAATGGGCTGGACAAAAGTATTGGCACCCTTTCACAACTGCGGATAAATAAGAATGTTACAAGCATGTGATGCTCCTGTAAACTCACCTGGGGCAAGTAACAGGTGTGGGCAATATAGAAATCACACCTGAAAGCAGATAAAAAGGAGAGACGTTCACTTAACCTTTGCATTGTGTGTCTGTCTGTGCCACACTAAGCATGGACAACAGAAAGAGGAGACGAGAACTGTCTGAGGACCTGAGAACCAAAATTGTGGCAAAATATCAACAATCTCAAGGTTACAAGTCCATCTCCAGAGAACTAGATTTGCCTTTGTCCACAGTGCGCAACATTATCAAGAAGTTTGCAACCCATGGCACTGTAGCTAATCTCCCTGGTCGTGGACGGATGGTGGATAAGCAGCCCCAAACATGTTCCAAAGACATTCAAGCTGTCCTGCAGGCTCAGGGAGCATCAGTGTCAGCGCGAACTATCCGTCGACATTTAAATGAAATGAAACGCTATGGCAGGAGACCCAGGAGGACCCCACTGCTGACACAGAGACATAAAAAAGCAAGACTACAGTTTGCCAAAATGTACTTGAGTAAGCCAAAAGCCTTCTGGGAAAACGTCTTGTGGACAGATGAGACCAAGATAGAGCTTTTCGGTAAAGCACATCATTCTACTGTTTACCGAAAACGGAATGAGGCCTACAAAGAACAAAACACAGTACCTACGGTAAAATATGGTGGAGGTTCAATGATGTTTTGGGGTTGTTTTGCTGCCTCTGGCACTGGGTGCCTTGACTGTGTGCAAGGCATCATGAAATCTGAGGATTACCAAAGGATTTTGGGTCGCACTGTAGGGCCCAGTGTCAGAAAGCTGGGTTTGCGTCCAAGATCCTGGGTCTTCCAGCAGGACAATGACCCCAAACATACGTCAAAAAGCACTCAGAAATGGATGGCAAAGAAGCGCTGGAGAGTTCTGAAGTGGCCAGCAATGAGCCCAGATCTAAATCCCATTGAACACCTGTGGAGAGATCTTAAAATTGCTGTTGGGAAAAGGTGTCCTTCCAATAAGAGAGACCTGGAGCTGTTTGCAAAGGAAGAGTGGTCCAAAATTCCGGGTGAGAGGTGTCAGAAGCTTATTGATGGTTATAGGAAGCGACTGATTTCAGTTATTTCCAAAGGGTGTGCAACCAAATATTAAGTTAAGGGTGCCAATACTTTTGTCCAGCCCATTTTTGGGGTTTTGTGTGACATTATGTCATATTTGCTTTTCTGCCTCTGTTTTATATTTGTTCCAATACATACAAAGGGAATAAACATGTGTATAGCAAAACATGTGTTAATGCAATACCTTTTTTGTGTGAAATACTTGATTTTCAGGAAAAATATCAAGGGTGCCAACAATTTCGGCCATGACTGTATATATATGTATGTATGTATGTATATATATATATATATATATATATATATATATATACCGTATACCATGGCAGTAAAATAGACAAAGTGGGTTTCTGGAGCCCAACCAGGGGCAGATGAATAGTAATCAATCACCTAGACCTAGAGTACTGGAGTCAGCTTTCTGGTCTGTGCAAAATAAATGCCAGACCTCTCACCTTTCTTTTAGAGAAGAGAGCTAGCATTATTAAAGAATGACAATTGCAGTGACTCATAAAAGATAATAAAAAATAATTGATGAACTCAACAATGCTACTGCAAATTAATGCATTCAAGCAGTATGAAATTCACTTAAATTTTGGATTTGTACATGGTGCCATATCCACATATCTCCAAAAATGATCAAATGATGGTGTTCTAAATTTGGGTCAGAGTTTAGACTGGCCAATGTTACCCTGCAGAAAGTATCAAATGACTAGGGCTAGGCTTTGGTTCACATGATAAACCCTGGGGCAAGTCTGGACAAAAATGTTCTATTGGAAAACTATTTTTCATTTTTCAAATTAAAATGGAGCTCCACCCAAAAGGGGACGTTCCGCTTTAAGGACTGGTCCCCCGCTCCTCATTAAGGATTGGCACCTTTGCGGGGCGGGGGGGAGCGGGTACCCGAATTTCACAGATCAGAAGTGGAAGTGGAAGGTGTCCTCTCTCCCTGTAGTCTTTTGAGACACATGATAGGTCCCAGATGACTACAGGACCATTCATGAAGTGCAGTGCTACTCGCGCATGCGCAGTGGGAACCCGGCTGTGAAGCCGCAAGCTATCACAGCCGGGTGCCCACACTGAAGATGCTGGCCTCCTGGAATACAGGACGGTCGGTGAAATGGGCTGCAGGGGACACACCGCGGACCAAGGGACAGATAAGTGGCTGTTTTTTAAAAGTCAGCAGCTACAGGTTTTGTAGCTGCTGACTTTTATTTTTTGACAGGGTGAGTGGAACTCCGCTTTAAGATCCGATTTACTACCTGTCTCTATACAACAGTCATTCTTAACCAGGGTTCCATGGAACCTTGAGGTTCCTCCAGAAGTTGCTAGTGCTGAGCTGTGGCTGATTGACCTCCCATTTGATGGTGCTTGCATAATTCTGGGGCCAGTGGCACTGGGAAAAGCCAGCTGCTGGACACCAATGATCTTTTTATCTGTTTGTAAGGTGGGCATTTTTTCCACGGGCCACCAATGTAAGGGGCATTTTTCCTACTGACCCCAATGAATTAGTTTTAGCAGGGGTTCCCCAAGACCTTAAATTTATTTCACGGGTTCCTCTGGGGTAATAAGGTTGAGAAAGGTTGCTCTAAGGGATCATACAAAAGAGCTCTACTGCACTAATGTTTAGTCCCATATGCAAAAGTATGTCTTAGTTCTGGAAAGGTACATCATGATCATGTAATAAAATGTTATTAGCTAGTTTGAAATTCAAGAACTTAATAACCTTACAGCGATTCAACTTGTAGGAGGTCTATTTGTTGTTTCATGGCACTTAGAAGCTGTTCATTCTTTTGTTCTTGAGCATTCAAATGTCTTATCATTTTTTCTAGATAACTCGTATTCTGGCTCTGCGCAGATATTTCATTCAGCCGCTGCACAATATCTGAAATTGATCAGGTTACATTCATTATTCATCAGCAGCAAAACAGTAATAGGCATGTACAGTATGTATTTCATCGGTTGTTTCATTTTTATGTAAAGTAAATGAGACAAATTTAGCTGTGAATAATGTATATTAGAAAGTACGAGCAGGGCCCTCTGTTTCCTCTTGTACCAAATTGTATAGTAACTGTAATGTCTACCTTCATTTTGTAAAGCACTGCGCAAACTGTTGGCGCTATATAAATCCTGTATAATAATAATAATAGCCCAAGCTTTGTGTGTTTGTGTAAAGATGTGTGCATTCCAGGATAAGGTTGGGTATATTACCCATAACCAATGTGAATAAGGTGTTTTATATCCACAAATGTCAATAAGAAGTAGAAGAAAATGTGTAGAATTTGAAGTGAAGGATGAAATTAAAATCAAAAGGACAAAATTGGAAAGGAGTGACAGCCAGCAGTGACAGCTAACCAGGAAACCTTGCAATGGTCAGAGAAAGCCAAGTAGGTGCTGACCAGGGAGGAAAGAGAAGGCAGATGGTGAGTACCATGAGTGAAGATGGACAAGGGAATGAGAGAAGAGGCAGAGAATGAGCTGACCAAGTACCAGGAAGGGTGAGAGAGAAGGCTGAAACAGTTTATCATGGACAGGAGGAAAGGAGAGAAAAAAATAAAGAATGTAAATGACTGTGGATGATGTAAGACAGCAAAGGTAGAAAGATCTAACTATGGACAACAGATAGAGAAGACTAAGAATGATCTGATCATAGACCACCCAGAAAGTAGTTAGGATGGGGCTGAGCATGGTCGGGGGACAAAGAATAAGTAAGGAAGTAGGGCAGGAGATGATCATTGACAGGATAGGATGGGATTTTGCACATGTTCACATGCTACACCAATGTAAATGCAGCCTTAGACCTTGTTCTTACTGAGTGTATGCATCCGTGCCCCGATTGATAGCTATGGGACTGCCTGTGAAGGGATATACAGAACACCTGTGCGGATATTTACAATTGTCACAAATGAGGCCTTACAGCTTAGAAACAACTGCTTTTGTTTAGAAGCCTGATAGGCTACCATAATTCCGGTGCAAAAAAAGTAATAGGTAAAGAGCTAAACTTTTAAAACTGTGTTGTAAACTTTGAGGGCTGGTTCACACCAAAACGTGTTTAGGGAAAGTCCCATTCCGTATGTGTTTCTCACATTGTGCCCAAAATTCATTGCCTTTAGGATCTGCTGCTGATACCAATGTGATGTTAATGGCACCCCAATTGCAGATCACAAATGCAGTGCATTTGTGGGCTGGAAATCACTACGATACTGCAGTACTGAGATTTGGTGCACCACATTTTAAAACAGTAGTGTATGCACTACTTTGTCTGCATTCCAGTGAGACTCCAGCCCATTCGAACCACATCAGAATATGTTGCATCCCAATGTGAACTGGCCCTAAAAATTACATTTCTCCACAATACCTACAGATGCAGAAGGCTTGTTTTAATTTGGTTTTATTGTTGTTCAGAATATGCAGGGCCGGGACAAAGGGTGGGCAGGAGGGACATTTGCCAAGGGTGCAGCTGTAAGGGAGGGAGACCCTTCACCACATGCAAGCTACAGATCAGTGTCTTGCAGCCAGGGGCTGCAGTTTCATGTCTGTTTTGACAGCTACTGGTGTCACATCATGCTCCAACATACCTGATCTCCACCCCATTTGGCCACAGCTGACACAAAAGCACACCATGCATGTGCAACTGCCTTCTAGCCACAATAAAGCAAGTGATTAACCATGCACACTGCATGCCAACCATGGGCAGTTGGAGCAAGGGGGCAAATAATGTGCACAATGTGGTATACATTTCTACAGAATGCATTAGGAGGTGTGTGGGGGGGGTGTATCCTTGTCCTGGGTGCTGGACAAATCTGTCCCGATATTGAGAATATGTAAATACTTGATCTGGGCACAAGCTCACTTTAAGTACTGACCATCTAAAACCTTCTGGTAAATTTACAGTCATGACCAAATATATTGGCACCCCTTCATTTTTGTTATCAGTTTACATACCAAACCGTCATCCTGATCATCGCCATACTCCATGCCAGCGTCCTGATCACCACCAAACACACTACACCAGTGTCCTGATCACCACCATGCTCCATACCAGCGTCCTGATCACCGCCATGCTCCATACCAGCGTCCTGATCACCACCATGCTCCATACCAGCGTCCTGATCACCGCCATGCTCCATACCAGCGTCCTGATCACCGCCATACAGCATATCAGCGCATTAATCACAGCCATACACCATTCCAGTGCCCTTATCACCACCATACACCATACCAGCGTCCTGATCACCACCATACATCATACCAGCGTCCTGATCACCGCCATACACCCTACCAGTGCCTTGATCACTACCATACCCCATGCCAGTGTCCTGATCACCCCATATGCCATACCAGCATCCTGTTCACCACCATACCCCTTGAGAATTGTGAATGGCACTGCTATTGTCATTATATGCAGTGTTATAAACATTTTTTGAGGGGGGTGACACCATGTTTTACCGGACCAGTTGACACCAACCATAGTGACACCATTGCACACCACTGACTCTGCTCTCCCTCCCGTACTCCTTTGAGCATAAAAACAGGTAGAAGAGCTGTGAGTACACCCAGCTCTCACACCGGTCCAGTTCTAGCCCTGCAGCTTCAATACAGATGCCTCTGTGATCCTTCCCATGGTCTCCCTTCTCTTCTCGCTGTGCTTGGTGATGGAGCTGAAGTAAGTTTCAGCCAGCTATTTCTGCTTGTCTTCCAGCCACAGCAGGATGCCTCTCTCATACTTTCTGTGCTCTCGTCCCTCCTCTACTTGGGTTTCATAATTGAGCTCCTTTAAGCACCACAATAGGAGAGGGGACACATCAAGAGCACCTGTCTTACTCAGCAGTAGCCTGGCCTGTCATCACAATTTCTGGCCCTGCTACCTGCACTATATTGAACCTGTTATTTCTCAGCTTTTCCGGGCAAGAAGGAAAGCGAGTGATGAGTACATCTGACTCCCTTGGAAAAAGCCTCCTTGTTACTTCCTTGCCTGGCCACCCGCGACTTATGAGCAGAGTGGAATGTACCGGTAGCTTAAATTCACACAACCCACCGCACAAAGTGTTTAACCGCCAGCCGCTCATGAGTTGTGGACAGGCCAGAAGGTATTTAAAATGGGGCACTCTGGAAGAGCAGGGCATAAGGGGGCACTAAGGGATACTCTAGAGGAGGATGTAAGGGAACAGTCTGGAGGTACTAACTTAATACCTCCAGAGTGCCCCAGAGAGCTTCTAGAATGCCTCTTTACATCCTCCAGTGTGCCCCCTTAGTACAGTATTACTAAGGGGACACTCTGGAGGATGTACATGGGCACTCTGAAGGTAATAACTTAGTACCTCCAAAGTCACCCTCCTTTCCTCTCCTGCCAACAATAGCTCCAGGTAAATCTGTATTTACTATGCTTCAGTTTATGAATAGGCAGGAGCCTCTGTCATATGTTCATTCATCTGCAGTGCAGCTGAGTCTCAGAAATTAGACTTCAAGGGTCTGTTTAGACCCCTGATATTTCAAGAAAGCCCCCCTCCCCAACAGCGTTGTACAATATTATTAAATTAAAAATCTAAATAAAAAAAAATAAAACTATAAAAAAAACTGAAAAATTTTAAAAAATCAGACTAAAATTTCTAAGCAGATTAAAAAGTCACACCCAATATGTGGCATAATTTAGCCACACCTATTGTATGCTCGGCACAGGTCACCATTTCCCTGGTAGGGGCCCCAGTGCATTACTTTCCCAAGAGGCCCATGATGCTGTTAAAAGTGGTACTAAACCCAGGACCCTGCATTCACTATATCTGGTCTTCAACAGTACATAGAACATGGAAATGCAATTATTTTTAGTAAATAAAAACTGGTAAATACCTTTTCTCATCAGTAGTTGGAGCAGTCTTGTGACTTCTATAAGTGTGCAGCAGAGCACTGGTTAAAGCTTTGTAGGAGAAGTTTTCATTCTCCTCTCACTGTCATATGAGACTGCAGGACCCCTAAACCTGATCACATGCACCCTTCCAAGAAAAAAAAAAACTCTAACAATACACACCAAACAGAGCATGTGCAGCTTGCCCCAAGGCTCTGTTCTATCAGGAGCTGAGTCAGGGACAGTAGAAGAAGGAGAGGATCAGAGAAGACAGGATCAAACAGCCTTTTTACACAATGCGGAGGATTAACCCCTTAGGTTCCGCAGTGAGCATAACAAGCAAGCTCTACTGCATATACAGACTGATTTTACTGCCATGGGTTTAGTAACACTTTAAGATGGCACTACCCATGAAAGGCTCCTAGTACCTTAATTGGGTCACCAGCTTTCATTCTCCTGCCATTCTGCATGTCGCTGAGCACGGTGCCCATCCACGAGGGCCTGCTGCATTAATATTGCGTCATAAAAATGGCTGCCACATGGTGACCATTTGTAAACCTGGGGGCCCCATTATCTCCTTATGCCAGGGGCCCCATGAGTTGTTAGTCCGCCCCTGACCTAAAATATTGTTTTCATCATCCCTATGTATGCCAACTGCTCACTCTCAGTCCCGTGATGACAGATTGAGCTCTGCAGTCACTTTTGCAGCAGTTTTTTTTTTATTCCTGAGCAATATCATTGTGTCTCTCTCACTCAGTTGACCATGCTTATGCTTATCAGATGACGTTTTCACGGAAATTGTACCTAGTGACACGGCAAATACATTGGCAACTTATAGTCATAGAGGCGCCAGCTAAGCAGTCAAAAACAATTTGCCCTCTTTGAAGTGCCGTAAGCTCTGACACGACTCGGTACTACCAGTATCGCACACAGTGAATGACAAAAGTAAGGCTTCCCACTTGAAAGCTAGGTGTCTCATCACACAGTGGAAGCAAAAGAATGTTACATCACTTCTGCTTTCAACACAAAACATGTCACTTTCA